AGGACATGAAGAATTGATCAAGTGTGGGCTCAACCCCCCGGCTCTGACACAAGGAGAGGAAGCCGACCACATAGGAGTGGCTGTTGGGCGTTAGCTGGCAGGGGGCCAACCCCACAAACCTCAGATACTCCAAGAGAAAAGGATGAAGCGGAAACCGAAGCCCCATCTCCACCGAGAGAGTGTGAACAGCAAAACACCCTTCGGGTGCATATCGCAGCAAGTCATTCGCCCTGGGCTCCACCACGCGCGCCGAAGGGCCAACCAGCATCTGGGTGGACTGGTATTCTGCCGGGGACGCCCTCGTCTTCAGCTCTAGAGCGGCAGTGTTCAGGAACGAATGGCCCTCGGGTATGCCCACCGGTCGCCCAGCATCAACTGCCGCTTGCTTCTTCCTCGGGGCCCCCTTCATCTTGTTTTTCTTCCCGGGAGCCACACTGATGGGCGTCGGGTCCAATGGCCGGGAGGAGCTGGCTTCCCCGGCACCCCGGGGGGGAGGAATGGCAACCGTCACCTTCAGCCTCTCCCTCTCCTCTTCTTGCTCGGTGGTTTGCACGGCGAGGGCAAGCTCTTCGTCCTCGTTTTCTTGCTCGAAGCCCTCGGCTTCGACTTCGGCCTGGAGGTCCTTCTCCACTTCCATGGCCACTGCGGCATCACAACCCGTCGAGGACTCCACACTCGAAGACTCCACATCTGAGCATGTCTCCATCTCTACCGAAGGCTCCCCCGAGATATCCTGGGAGTCGCTCTGTGATGACATCTGCTCACTAATTCGAAGGCTCGGGAAAACTAAGGTTTCCTAGAAAATTCTATCTCCTAACCTAAGGGCACAAGGCACAGCTAAACTAGAAGGAGAAAGGCAGGGGGAACTGACCTTGAAAGCTGAGTTTTTACCGAAGGCTTGAGTTTCTCTCTCTAGATTTTTTGGCAGAGCTTCGCTAAGACAGATGATCGCACAAGAAGAAAGGGCTCTGGCCTTGGGGTATTTATAGGCGATGGAATTCGGGCTTGGGACTGGATTCCGGGCCTCTGGATGGACCGCCATCATTACACACCGCGTCTTCGCCCAACCAGTGATGCCGCCCACGGACAGCCAGCCATCACGCGCCACGTGTACCCCCCCCCCCCCCCAACGGCTATATCCTGACGTTACATATTCCAACGGCTATATTTCCAACGGCTATATTCTGGAAGCCCCCGGGTTTTCTACTTCACTCTGCTACATCAAGGAGAGCCTCCGGGTACACTTACCCAGAGACGCCCCCGGGTTGTGCCCCACACAGCACATAACAGACGCCTTCGGGATCACTCCTTCAGAAACCCGAGGCTTCATATCAGGGTATGGGAGCCCTCGGGTATCTTCATCACCAACCAATCAACAAACAGTGGACCCCCCGGTAACAACTCCACTGCTGCCCTCATCAATCAGGCCCTCGATCCCCAGATTGAGGGGCTCCCCTTCGGCGCCCCCAGGACATCAACAGCAAGCCTTCGGCCAATCAACACATGAGCCCTCAGAAGAAGAAGAGCCTTCGGTATTACCGTTATTCTCCATTTTTGACCAAGGTTTCACATTTTCGATTCATCATTGGGGGAATTCGGTGCACTATTTTTCCCTCATTAGGATTTTTTCCCACAGGGTTTTTTCTAATGAGGTTTTTAACGAGGCATCCCCCCAAAATGAAACGAAAAGCGTCAGCCTTCGGCCCACAACACCAACGCAACTACTCTACTCCTTTTCACCACTTTACAAGTGTCTCAAGGAGTGGGGGACTGGGGAACCCCCTTGGGAAAATCATTAAATTACAAAATTAGTGAAATTCCAACAAACGACAAAGCAAGCCCTCAAGTCCCGACATGTGGGTAACTGAGGGACTGCCTTCGGCAGGGACATGAAAACAACAACTCCTCACCAACTTCAGAGATTACGACAGGACAACATCAAAGGGCAAGCACAAATTACTCCTTTTCCCTCAAATACCTTTCGGCAAAAGGAGTGAGGGACTCCTGATGGAGTATATGGCCCGGGAACCCCAGGCCCACAGACTCCTACTACTCCAGCAAAGGCCCAACAGGCCCAGAAGGCTCAACAGGCCCAAATCACAGCGCCCAGAGTACCAAGCAGCCCGCACTACGCGCCAGGGGTGCCTTCGGCCCCCTGGCCGAAGGCTCTAAACTCTTACAGAACGGGGTTCTCAAGCAAACTAAGAAACTGGGAGAAAACGGCAAAAACAGTAGCCCTCGGCACCAGGGGGGCATCGGTTTGAGGAGCCCTCGGCTGCTGCCCTATAGCCGAAGGCACCTCTCCTGACATGATATCCGCCTCACATGCGTACAGATCACCGTACCCTGTACAGACGTCCCATCCAACAGCCGCATTAAATGCGGCCACATGCGGCTGCCTACGCCAACCAGTTGAGGTGACCTCTTGGCCAATGGGCGCTTGACACGTGTCCCTGTCCGGCATTTATTGCTACTATAAATAGCACCCCATTTCCCCATTTGTAACCACGCTGAAAACGCTCCACATTTATAATACGCTCTCTCTCTACGCTTACTTGTTCTGACTTCTCTCTAAGTTATTCCCAGCAATAACCCTTCGGATATATACCCCCGGGTAGACTATCCATCAGCAGTATCTTGAGTTAATTCAGCCAGAAAATTAACTATAACCTTATTTATTTTGATTATTACGCAATTCAATGCGTGAAATAAAAAATTACATGTTTAGTGAAAAAAAATTTGATCAATAGGACTGAAAAATAAGACACCAAATAAACGGGATTAAATTACTTAAATAATACTCCCTCCGTCTCATAAAAGTCTTCTCATTTTCCTTTTTGGGCTGTCCCAAAAATTCTTCCCTTTTTGGGCTGTCCCAAAAAATTCTTCCCACTTAACATTTCATTTCACTTTTTTTACACAACTACAACCACACATTTTCACTTTATTCCACTTTCTTAATCTCCGTTTATGAGACGGAGGGAGTAGGTTACTTAAAACACCAACACATTTTTTGAACCACTTCTCCCTCATCCAAAAATAAAATCTTGATTTCTGACAAATGTAATTGTATACTAAATCAATTGAACAAAACTACCGAATACGTCTTAAAATATTTGAGCATAATTAAAATCGCGGTGGGCATGAAACTCCACATGAATGCTAAAATCCAATCGTAAGCAATTCAAGCCAAGATATTAAAGTTGCGAACATTTGTACAAACTAAAAAATTCAATATATTATACTACCTCCGTAATCCTAGAATCTTCCCAGTTTGACTTTTTTATGTCAAACTTTATAAAATTTGACCATTAATTATTCAAAACTCACATTATGTTATGATTAAAAATTTAATTCATATACCTCATTGTAAAAGCATATTATTTGAATGTTAATATATTATGAATTTTATAAATATAGATATGTAGATATTTAGAGTCAAAATTCAACTTGGAAGACCGTGAAAAATCAAAATGGGAAAATCTTTGTGTTACGGAAGTAGTAACTACATAGATTCTTGGTGGAATATAGCTAACACAATTGATGAAGTAAATATTTTATTTCTGTATTGACGTAGTGCACATATATATTTGTTAATGGACAAAAATCATTTGAACCCTCAAACTCACAAAAAAACACTCAATCAAGCCTATTAGCCGGTAACAAATAAGTCTTGAGAGAATTCCGTAAATAGGAGTAAAAAAGTTTTGAAATTCCAAAATAGAAGTATCATGTTTTTTATTCCTTGAATACGAGTAAATTTCTGCCAAGTTTGTCATTACTAGGCTTTAAAACATGGCATTTTTTCCAAACTTGGCATATTACTCATATTCAGGGAATAAAAAACATGATACTCTTATTTAGAAATTTCAAAACGTTTTTGCTCATATTTAGAGCAATTTCTAATAAGTATTCAGGTTAAGGTTAACCGTTTATGTGGACCTTGGTTTTTATAAAGTTTTTTGATTTTTTTAGTTTATCACATCAAGATCTTTACTGTTTAGTCGTTCTTTTTTATACGACAGCTTCTTGCCGCCTGGCTAGCAACTTCACCCGCATTTCCGTATATGCCTAGGCATGCAAGTTCATCGGCTTCCCGTTCAGTACCCACAACCCACCTTCCTCCTCTTTCTATCCCACCGTTCACTTCCCCCTTCTTTCACTTTCTTCTTCGTTGGCCGACTCTGCTCTCCTTTCTCTTACAACCAGGGGCAGATCCAAGAATATAATAAGTTAAACTGGGTTAAAGAGTAATTATACTAGTTTTAAACATTATATAGGTGGGTAAATAAGAAAAACAAAAATATTTCCACTAAAAAATGAAGAAAAAAATAAGTTGCACTATGCTTCAGCCCACTATAACCGATTTAATTTGCTTGTTATTTTCTACTCCCTCCGTTCTCATTTTATCTTCCATTTCCCATGGGCACACAATTTAAGAAAAGTAGGTATTGTGTGGTGGAGAATTGTGCAGAGGAGAGAGAAATGTGTAAGAAATGTTGTGAACAACAAATTCTTTACCAAAAGGGGAAAGTGGAAGTTTAATTAGAACAGATGAAAAAGGAAAGTTGGAAGATATAATAGGAACGGAGGGAGTATGTTTTATTTTTAAACAATTTGAAAGAGTGGCGTGGGAAAATTTTGGCGGTCTGACGGGTTTGATTTTCACACTAAAATTAGATTCGCTCTTTAGTTAATTTAAAGATCTAAAGCACATGTTTCTTTGTTTTGGTATCAACTCGTTAGTTCAGTTTAAACACAAATAAACTAATGCAATAGTGGAGCCGACGGAAATAAGTTCGTGAAGGTGAGACTATGATGTACGGAGTATTTAATTGATTGGTAAGAGAGAGAAGAAAACTTAGGGTGAAAAAAACGTGTATTTGAGTCCGTAAAGGATCAAGATTTCCAACTTGATCACTTCTCTCCATCTATATATATGTTTATTCCATATGAAATAACAACATAATTTAGAAAGATTTTTACGAGATCAGAGAGGATAAGGGATTTATTCCAGGTCATTCATCTATTATGGATCCAGGTATTCCTAAATTTCAATCTATTATTATATAATTACGTATAATTATATGATGTCTTTTTTTATATGGAAATCTTACTTTCTTCTTTTTATTTTATCAATCCAAACCAATTCCGTAAGCAAAAAAAACTTGATACTGTTTTTAATGAATTCTTGATAAATACTTGTACAGTATTGATGGCATGATATGGTCAAATCTAGGGTTTTTGTGTGATCAATAGAAACTACGTAGTAAAATTTTATATCCAAAGTTCTAAACTCGTACCATACGCACAATTTAATTTTATTATAAAATACGATCCCAAATTCTCGGGCCTTTACATCTTACGAGGGTTTTAAGAATGATTTTTTTTTTATTTGGTCACTGCATATAAAAATCTATTTTCTGAAACCGGGGAACTGATTCGGTCAGGCCAGTTTTTAAAACATGAAAAATATCTTACTTTAAACATTACATAAGATCATTCATATCTTCATACACATATACAATATTACATAATTTTGGGAAATATCAAATATGCGTGAAATTGAGGCTTAGCTTCTTTTTTTTTTTTGAAGAAAGGCTTCCCTATTGGATGGACGTCTTTAATTTGGCGCATCTTTGGAATGTCTACAGTTTTATGCGTTAGTAGATACGTAGTAGATAGTTAGGACTTAGGATAGTGCTTTTGTGTTTTAATTAAGTTTCAACACTATGTCGATCATGTTTATATATTTGATTATTTTCTAGTAATTACTACATTCTAGCTTTTTTATTCTCTAACTTTCTATTTTTGCCATTAATTACAAAATCTGTAATTAATACGGAGTATTGAATTGGTTAATGCAGTGGCAGAGGCTAAATTCATGGTAATTTTGAACTTTTTCGAAGATGATGGAGAAACGTTTGCTATCCAACTTGTTCAAGACCTCCACGAATCCTATCAAGTCATGGCAGAAAAACACTTTCGTGATGAGGGGAAAAAGAGTGAGGACTATGATGGAAGAGCGCATCCATTATGTGATCACACGATCAGCACTTTAAAGTCAATATTAAAGACGCTCAAGAAACAAAACGAAGATATCAAGATACTCACTCGTGAAGTTGAGTTATTGAGACGTTTGGATGATGGAGGGCGGGTGAAAAAGAATTCCATTTTAAATAAATTGAAGCATTCTCTTTCCAAATTCTTTTCTTTCTTTTATTTTGGAAGGTTTTAAATTCTATGTATTTTATTGGGAATCATAGTACTATTTGGAAGATTTTTCTTTGTTTATTCTATTATGCGTTGTATAGTAGAGAAGATTAAGAGTCAAACATGAATAAATAAAGTGCACTAATAAGAATATATCTTATCATAATTTATGGATCGCTTAGGCCTATTTTAAATAATAAAGCACTTAATCTTCTTAATGTAGGAATAAATTATATTCTTATTGAGTAATTTAAATGCTGTATTTCTTGATTTTATGTAGACCAACTTATAATTGGGGGCTGGGTGCGTTATCAAGTATACACAAATTAAAGTCATTAATCTAATTTTCTCATTGATACTCGGTATTATATATGCAAGCAGTACTATATACGAAGTATATGTTATCATTTAACGATATATATTAGGGAAACATAATAGTGACTACATACGAACCTCTTTGCCATCAATCATTAAATGATTGGATTCGCTGATTTATGAGAAACTATATTCAAAATATATTATATTAATTAATAAAAAAGAAAAAATTATATGAAAAATACCTAAAATTTTATTTGCAGTATCTTCAGTTAATTCAGCCAGAAAATTAACTATAACCTTATTTATTTTTTTTATTACGCAATTCAGTGCGTGAAATAAAAAATTACATGTTTAGTGAAAAAAATCTGATCAATAGGACTGAAAAATAAGACACCAAATAAACGGGATTAAATTACTTAAATAATACTCCCTCCGTCTCATAAAAGTCTTCTCATTTTCCTTTTTGGGCTGTCCCAAAAATTCTTCCCTTTTTGGGCTGTCCCAAAAAATTCTTCCCACTTAACATTTCATTTCACTTTTTTTACACAACTACAACCACACATTTTCACTTTATTCCACTTTCTTAATCTCCGTTTATGAGACGGAGGGAGTAGGTTACTTAAAACACCAACACATTTTTTGAACCACTTCTCCCTCATCCAAAAATAAAATCTTGATTTCTGACAAATGTAATTGTATACTAAATCAATTGAACAAAACTACCGAATACGTCTTAAAATATTTGAGCATAATTAAAATCGCGGTGGGCATGAAACTCCACATGAATGCTAAAATCCAATCGTAAGCAATTCAAGCCAAGATATTAAAGTTGCGAACATTTGTACAAACTAAAAAATTCAATATATTATACTACCTCCGTAATCCTAGAATCTTCCCAGTTTGACTTTTTTATGTCAAACTTTATAAAATTTGACCATTAATTATTCAAAACTCACATTATGTTATAATTAAAAATTTAATTCATATACCTCATTGTAAAAGCATATTATTTGAATGTTAATATATTATGAATTTTATAAATATAGATATGTAGATATTTAGAGTCAAAATTCAACTTGGAAGACCGTGAAAAATCAAAATGGGAAAATCTTTGTGTTACGGAAGTAGTAACTACATAAATTCTTGGTGGAATATAGCTAACACAATTGATGAAGTAAATATTTTATTTCTGTATTGACGTAGTGCACATATATATTTGTTAATGGACAAAAATCATTTGAACCCTCAAACTCACAAAAAAACACTCAATCAAGCCTATTAGCCGGTAACAAATAAGTCTTGAGAGAATTCCCTAAATAGGAGTAAAAAAGTTTTGAAATTCCAAAATAGAAGAATCATGTTTTTTATTCCTTGAATACGAGTAAATTTCTGCCAAGTTTGTCATTACTAGGCTTTAAAACATGGCATTTTTTCCAAACTTGGCATATTACTCATATTCAGGGAATAAAAAACATGATACTCTTATTTAGAAATTTCAAAACGTTTTTGCTCATATTTAGAGCAATTTCTAATAAGTATTCAGGTTAAGGTTAACCGTTTATGTGGACCTTGGTTTTTATAAAGTTTTTTGATTTTTTTAGTTTATCACATCAAGATCTTTACTGTTTAGTCGTTCTTTTTTATACGACAGCTTCTTGCCGCCTGGCTAGCAACTTCACCCGCATTTCCGTATATGCCTAGGCATGCAAGTTCATCGGCTTCCCGTTCAGTACCCACAACCCACCTTCCTCCTCTTTCTATCCCACCGTTCACTTCCCCCTTCTTTCACTTTCTTCTTCGTTGGCCGACTCTGCTCTCCTTTCTCTTACAACCAGGGGCAGATCCAAGAATATAATAAGTTAAACTGGGTTAAAGAGTAATTATACTAGTTTTAAACATTATATAGGTGGGTAAATAAGAAAAACAAAAATATTTCCACTAAAAAATGAAGAAAAAAATAAGTTGCACTATGCTTCAGCCCACTATAACCGATTTAATTTGCTTGTTATTTTCTACTCCCTCCGTTCCCATTTTATCTTCCATTTCCCATGGGCACACAATTTAAGAAAAGTAGGTATATATTGTGTGTTGGAGAATTGTGCAGAGGAGAGAGAAATGTGTAAGAAATGTTGTGAACAACAAATTCTTTACCAAAAGGGGAAAGTGGAAGTTTAATTGGAACAGATGAAAAAGGAAAGTTGGAAGATATAATAGGAACGGAGGGAGTATGTTTTATTTTTAAACAATTTGAAAGAGTGGCGCGGGAAAATTTTGGCGGTCTGACGGGTTTGATTTTCACACTAAAATTAGATTCGCTCTTTAGTTAATTTAAAGATCTAAAGCACATGTTTCTTTGTTTTGGTATCAACTCGTTAGTTCAGTTTAAACACAAATAAACTAATGCAATAGTGGAGCCGACGGAAATAAGTTTGTGAAGGTGAGACTATGATGTACGGAGTATTTAATTGATTGGTAAGAGAGAGAAGAAAACTTAGGGTGAAAAAAACGTGTATTTGAGTCCGTAAAGGATCAGGATTTCCAACTCGATCACTTCTCTCCATCTATATATATGTTTATTCCATATAAAATAACAACATAATTTAGAAAGATTTTTACGAGATCAGAGAGGATAAGGGATTTATTCCCGGTCATTCATCTATTATGGATCCAAGTATTCCTAAATTTCAATCTATTATTATATAATTACGTATAATTATATGATGTCTTTTTTTATATGGAAATCTTACTTTCTTCTTTTTATTTTATCAATCCAAATCAATTCCGTAAGCAAAAAAAACTTGATATTGTTTTTAATGAATTCTTGATAAATACTTGTACAGTATTGATGGCATGATATGGTCAAATCTAGGGTTTTTGTGTGATCAATAGAAACTACGTAGTAAAATTTTATATCCAAAGTTCTAAACTCGTACCATACGCACAATTTAATTTTATTATAAAATACGATCCCAAATTCTCGGGCCTTTACATCTTACGAGGGTTTTAAGAATGATTTTTTATTTATTTGGCCACTGCATATAAAAAACTATTTTCTGAAACCGGGGAACTGATTCGGTCAGGCCAGTTTTTAAAACATGAAAAATATCTTACTTTAAACATTACATAAGATCATTCATATCTTCATACACATATACAATATTACATAATTTTGGGAAATATCAAATATGCGTGAAATTGAGGCTTCTTTTTTTTTTGAAGAAAGGCTTCCCTATTGGATGGACGTATTTAATTTGGCGCATCTTTGGAATGTCTATAGTTTTATGCGTTAGTAGATACGTAGTAGATAGTTAGGACTTAGGACAATGCTTTTGTGTTTTAATTAAGTTTCAACACTATGTCGATCATGTTTATATATTTGATTATTTTCTAGTAATTACTACATTCTAGCTTTTTTATTCTCTAACTTTCTATTTTTGCCATTAATTACAAAATCTGTAATTAATACGGAGTATTGAATTGGTTAATGCAGTGGCAGAGGCTAAATTCATGGCAATTTTGAACTTTTTCGAAGATGATGGAGAAACGTTTGCTATCCAACTTGTTCAAGACCTCCACGAATCCTATCAAGTCATGGCAGAAAAACACTTTCGTGATGAGGGGAAAAAGAGTGAGGACTATAATGGAAGAGCGCATCCATTATGTGATCACACGATCAGCACTTTAAAGTCAATATTAAAGACGCTCAAGAAACAAAACGAAGATATCAAGATACTCACTCGTGAAGTTGAGTTATTGAGACGTTTGGATGATGGAGGGCGGGTGAAAAAGAATTCCATTTTAAATAAATTGAAGCATTCTCTTTCCAAATTCTTTTCTTTCTTTTATTTTGGAAGGTTTTAAATTCTATGTATTTTATTGGGAATCATAGTACTATTTGGAAGATTTTTCTTTGTTTATTCTATTATGCGTTATATAGTAGAGAAGATTAAGAGTCAAACATGAATAAATAAAGTGCACTAATAAGAATATATCTTATCATAATTTATGGATCGCTTAGGCCTATTTTAAATAATAAAGCACTTAATCTTCTTAATGTAGGAATAAATTATATTCTTATTGAGTAATTTAAATGCTGTATTTCTTGATTTTATGTAGACCAACTTATAATTGGGGGCTGGGTGCGTTATCAAGTATACACAAATTAAAGTCATTAATCTAATTTTCTCATTGATACTCGGTATTATATATGCAAGCAGTACTATATACGAAGTACTCCCTCCGTTCTTTTTTAGTTGCAACGGTCAACATTTCACATTTGCCAACACACGTCTTTGATCGTAATTATATCTTAATTCTATTAGTAAAAAAATATTAAAAATCAAATTTAAAAAATTTGTAATAAGATGAATTGAAAAATAATTTTTTAAAAAATAATTTTCATAAAATAATAGCGTAAAATGTAGTCAAAGTAAAACCTGGAATAATGTAAATTCAACATGTTGCGATTAAAACAGAACGGAGGATAGTATATGTTATCTCGATCATTTAACGATATATATTAGGGAAACATAATAGTGACGAGTGACATTAGTTACGTTTTATACAAAGATCGAACAACAATTGCAATTAGTGACTACGTACGAACCTCTTTGCCATCAATGATTAAATGATTGGATTCGCTGATTTATGAGACACTATATTCAAAATATATTATATTAATTAATAAAAAAGAAAAAATTATATGAAAAATAACTAAAATTTTATTTGCAGTATCTTCAGTTAATTCAGCCAGAAAATTAACTATAATCTTATTTATTCTGATTATTACGCAATTCAGTGCGTGAAATAAAAAATTACATGTTTAGTGGAAAAAAACTGATCGTCCTGGCCCCGTAAGCCTAGAAGTGAAACACTCAGGTATGGCCG